ATAAATGATATATTTGAAAAACCTTCGAGAAATATGTTTCAGGACAGAACAGGGTAATTATTAGAGTTTGTTCTTTTTTTTTTTCCCTTTATTGTATTTTATTTTTTTTTAAAGTTGTAGCTTTACAATTTTTTGTGCTTTGGTTTCAATTATACAATGATCAGATACCCATCCCTCCACCAGTGCCCATTTTCCACCACCATGGATAATATCCCTCCCACCCCCATCCCCCCATCCCCCCTGTCTCTGTGGCAGGGCAATCCCCTGTGTTCTCTCTCTCCTTTTGGGTGTTGTGGTCTGCAAAAGAGGCATTGAGTGGCAAACATGTTCAGTCCATAGTCTACTTTCGACATGCATCTCCCCTCCTGGGAGGATCCTCCAAACATCCTTTATTTGGTGCTCCCTTCTCTATCTGAACTGCCCTTTCCTCTAGGATACCCGGCTGGCCTCTAAGTTATGGAGTAATCCTCCTGGTGCTGATCTCAGCTATTCTTGGGTATTAATCTCTTACTTTGTTACTTTATATCCCCCAGATGAATGCAATCTTTCTATGTCTATCCCTCTCTTTCTGACTCATTTCGCTTAGCATGATACTTTCCATGTTTTACCACTTGTATGTAAATTTCATGACTTCATCTTTTCTAAGAGCTACATAGTACTCCATTGTGTAGATGTACCAAAGTTTCTTTAACCAGTCATCTGTTTTTGGGCACTCAGGTTTCTTCCAGTTTCTGGCTATTGTAAAGAGTGCTGCAATGAACAAACAAGTGCAGATGTCACTTCGACTATACATTTTTGCCTCTCTGGGATATTTTCCCAGGAGTGGTATTGCTGGGTCAAATGGGAGCTCAATTTCTAATTTTTTGAGAATCGTCCATACTGTTTTCCAGAAGGGCTGAACCAGTGGACATTCCCACCAACAGTGAAGGAGTGTCCCTTTCTCGCCACATCCACGCCAGCAACGGTTGCTTTTGTTCTTTTGAATGTGGGCTAGTCTCTGAGGTGTGAGATGGTATCTCATTGTTGTTTTGATCTGCATCTCCCTGATGATTAATGATGTAGAGCATTTTCTCATGTGCTTTTTTGCCATTCGGATTTCTTCTTTGAGAAAGTTTCTGTTCATTTCATTGCCCCATTTTTGGATGGGGTTGGATGTTTTCTTCTTGTGGAGTTTAACCAGTATTTTGTATATCCTGGATATCAACCCCTTGTCAGATGTGTATTCGGCGAATATCCTTTCCCATTCTGTAGACTGTCTTTGTATTTTGGTCACTGTTTCTTTGGAGGTGCAGAAGCTTCTTAGTTTAAGATAGTCCCATTTATCTATCTCTGTTTTCACTTGCTCGGCCAGTGGCGTGGCATCTTTGAAGATACCATTAGCTTCAATGTCATGGAGGGTTTTGCCAACTTTATCTTCAATGTACCTTATGGTTTCTGGTCTGATGTTGAGGTCTTTAATCCATTTTGATCTTACTTTTGTACATGGTGTTAGGCAGAGTTCTGAGCCTATTTTTTTGCATGTAGCCGTCCAGTGATGCCAACACAATTTATTAAAGAGGCTTTCCTTACTCCACTTCACATTACTTGCACCTTTATCAAAGATTAGATGAGCATATGATTGAGGAGAGATGTCAGTGTATTCAACCCTGTTCCATTGGTCTGCAGTTCTGCCTTTGTTCCAGTACCATGCTGTTTTAATTATTACTGCTTTGTAGTACAGTTTGAAGTTCGGGAGGTTGATTCCTCCCATTTTCTTTTTCCCAAGAATTGCTTTAGCTATTCGTGGGGGCTTATTGTTCCATATAAATTTCAGGAGTGTTTGCTCCATTTCTTTGAAGAATGTCATGGGTATCCTTATAGGGATTGCATTGAATTTATACAATGCTTTTGGTAGTATTGCCATTTTGACAATGTTAAGTCTCCCGACCCATGAGCAGGGGATATCTTTCCATTTCCTCATGTCCTCTTTTATTTCCTGAAGTAGCGTTTTGTAGTTTTCTTTGTACAGGTCCTTTACTTCCTTAGTTAAGCTGATTCCTAGGTACTTGATTTTCTGGGGCACAATTGTGAACGGGATTGTTTTTTTCATGTTGCTTTCTTCTCTCTCACTGTTTGCGTATAGGAAAGCCATGGACTTTTGGGTATTGATTTTATAACCTGCAACTTTACTATACGAGTCTATTGTTTCTAGGAGTTTTTTGGTGGAAGTTATTGGGTTCTCTAAGTAGAGTATCATATCATCTGCGAATAGTGAGAGCTTGATTTCTTCCTTTCCTACCTGAATGCCCTTAATATCTTTTTCCTGCCTAATCGCTATTGCAAGTACTTCCAGTACTATATTGAACAACAGTGGAGAGAGTGGGCATCCCTGTCTCGTCCCTGATCTTAGAGGGAAGGCTCTCAGTTTTTCCCCATTGAGGATGATGCTTGCTGTAGGCTTGTGGTAGATGGCTTTAATTATGTTGAGGAAGGTCCCCTCTATCCCCATTTTGGCTAGGGTTTTCATCATAAAGGGGTGCTGGATCTTATCAAATGCTTTCTCTGCATCTATTGATATGATCATATGCTTTTTATCTTTTCTTTTGTTGATATGGTGGATTATGTTGATTGATTTCCGAATGTTAAACCATCCTTGCATCCCTGGGATGAATCCTACTTGGTCATGGTGTATGATCTTTTTGATGAGTAGTTGGATTCTATTTGCTAGTAGTTTGTTGAGGATCTTTGCATCTGTGTTCATCAGGGATATCGGCCTGTAATTCTCTTTCTTTGTGGTATCTCTGTCTGCTTTTGGTATCAGTGTGATATTTGCTTCGTAGAAACTGTTCGGAAGTGTTTTTGATATTTCAATTTCGTGGAAAAGCTTAAAGAGCATCGGGAGTAAGTCCTCTTTAAAGATTTGGAAGAATTCACTAGTGAATCCATCCGGGCCAGGACTTTTGTGCTTGGGGAGACTTTTTATTACCATTTCAATTTCCTTGATGGTGATAGGTCTGTTCAGGTATTCCAGGTCTTCTTGGTTCAGCCTTGGGAGTCTGTAGGAGTCTAGGAATTTATCCATTTCCTCGAGGTTTTGATGTTCCGTGGCATAAAGCTTCTCAAAGTACTCCCTGAGGATCCTCTGAATTTCTGTGGTTTCTGTTGTAATGACCCCCTTTTCATTTCTGATTCGGCTTATTAGGGTTTTCTCTCTCCCTTTCTTTGTGAGTTTTGCTAGAGGCTTATCGATCTTGTTAATTTTCTCGAAGAACCAGCTTTTGGTTTCATTGATCTTTCGGATTGTTTTTTGGGTTTCCATCTCGTTAATCTCTGCTCTGAGTTTTATTATTTCCTTTCTCCTGTTCGGGTTGTGCTCCTTTTTTTGGTCCTTCTCCAAGCTCTTAAGCTGTGAGGTTAGGTTACTTATGTGTGCTCGCTCCTCCTTCCTGAGGAATGCTTGTAGAGCTATAAACTTTCCTCTTAACACAGCCTTTGCTGTGTCCCATAAGTTTTGGTAATTCGTGTTCTCATTTTCATTCGTTTCTAGGAATCTTTTGATTTCCTCTTTGATTTCCTGTCTAATCCACTCGTTGTTCAATAGTGCACTGTTTAATTTCCAGGTGTTTGATTTAGTTTTCTGTTTTTGTGTGTGATTTACTTCTAATTTCAGCGCATTATGGTCTGAGAAGATTGTTGATACAATCTCTACCTTCTTAATTTTATGGAGGCATGTTTTGTGGCTCAGCATGTGGTCTATCTTGGAGAATGTTCCATGTACGCTTGAGAAGAATGTGTATTCAGCTTTTTGTGGATGAAGTGTCCTGTATATATCTACTAAGTCCCTTTCTTCCATTGTTTCCCTCAAATGAAGTATGTCCTTGCTAAGCTTGAGTCTGGTTGATCTATGAAGAGGTGACAAAGCAGTGTTGAAGTCTCCCACTAGTATTGTGTTGCTATTGATGTCTTTTTCCAAATCTATGAGTAGTTGTTTTAAGTACTTTGCTGGTCTCTCATTAGGTGCATATACATTTATTATTGTAAGTTCTTCCTGTTGTACAGATCCTTTGATCAATAAGAAATGGCCTTCACTGTCTCTTATGGCCTTCCTCACTCTGAAATCGATGTGGTCTGATATAAGGATGGCTACCCCAGCTTTTTTATGGGAGCTGTTTGCCTGTAGGATTGTTTTCCAGCCTTTGACTCTGAGTCTGTGTTTGCTTTGACTATTGAGATGCGTTTCTTGCAGGCAACAGAATGTTGGGTTCAATTTTCTAATCCATCCTGCCACTCTATGTCTTTTAATTGGTGCGTTTAGCCCATTGACATTGAGAGAGATTATTGTTATGGGATTTTGTCCCATTGTTCTGTTAAAATTTGGTGTATTTGAGGGGCCTTTCTTGCCTTAAAGTAGCCCATTTAGTTGTTCTTGTAACCATGGTTTTGAGTCTATGAAGTTCCTGAGCTGTTGTTTGTCTGTGAAACTGTGTGTTGTTCCTTCTATTATGAATGAGAGTCTTGCTGGGAAAAGTATTTTTGGGGAGGCATTTATTTCATTGAGTTTTTTTACTATGTCCCACCACTGTTTTCGGGCCATGAGGGTTTCATCAGAAAAATCAGCTGTGAATTTTAGAGTTTGTTCTTCATGATTATAATGAAGTAGTATGTATTCCCCCAGAGAGCAAGCCCTAAATAAAAGAAGAGAGCCTCTTTGAGGAATAGGCTGGCTTTTTTTTTCTTTTCATTTTTTCCCAAGGTGCCAGGGATAGAACTCAGAACCTCACATAGACAAAAGAAGTGCTCTCTTGCTGAACTGTGTCACATTGGCTCTAGTTCTGAGCTTGTCCCCCCCCCCCACTTTCCAACCCCTTTTAAAAAAAAAGATCCTTTTTTGCCTTTCTTGTAGACCTCAGATACAATGACAAATCAGGTAGCAAGAGATCATTTTTCCAAAAAGAAACAGCTGAATTTAATGATTTCCTACTTGCATTGTTCAAAAGAGTAAAGCCAGTTCTGGTTTTCAGGCATCATCTTTATCAGAAAGTGAGGAATCTCAGGACTCATCTGACAGTATTGGCTCCTCCCAGAAAGCCCACGGAATCCTAGCACGACGCCCATCTTACAGGTGAGTACGTGTGTCACTTCCAGAAAGCTCAAACCGTGCTGTGCAAAGAGTATAGTGTAAATTGGGAAGCGCAGTTTGCATGTTGGAGAGAAAGATTCATGCCTGTGCTGAGGAATGCAGACAAATCTTCTGGCAAATTATTAGATTTTCATATTTGCTTTTAGATAGCGTAATAGCAATGTGAAGGCATATTGCTATTGCACTATGAAGAATTGTAGATTTTAGGAAATGAATTGGACTTTTATTATTTAATTTTAAAATCAGTCAACTAATTATTTTTTATTTTTGTGAAATAGGCTTTTGTATACCCCTTCGCCTAAAGTGTCTTTGCATTCTGCATAGCTGCTGTGCGTAGTTTAGATCTCATTTCCTCCTGAAAGTCTTGTCTGGTTACCTTCTCTCCAACACCCATGACCAAGTTAGGCATTTTTCCTGTGGCATTGTTACAGTTCTTACATCATTCTTTTGGGATTCCAGCTTAAGGGCATGGCCTTTGTGTATTTTTGGTGATTTCAGGGCCTAGTAAAGTAACTATCTAAGTGTGAAAGCTCCAGGATTGGAGAGATAGCTCAGAAGAGCACATGCTTTCCATGCAGAAGTTCTGGTGCCCATCCCTTATCCTACATGGTCCTTTCAACAGCACTAGCAGCAAGCCCTGAGCACTAAACTGGGAGTAGTCCCTGAGCTGCTCTGGGTGTGACTCAACAACAATAACAGAAAAAAAAACGCATCACAGACATACGGTCTGAAGACCGTACAACTGATAACCTCCTGCCTTGTGTTGCAGGCAACCCAGGTTGGTTCCCTGGTACTGCAATTGGTCCTCCAAGTCCCACCAGGAGTGATCCTTAGCACAGAACCAGGAATAACCCTGAGGCAGCCAGTGTGGTCCTAAAATAAAAATTAAAAAGATAATATTTTATTATTATGTGTTGAATAAATGGAGATCTGGAAGTAGTATCACTTATTGACGGGAAAATGTTGGAATAGTCTGGATAATTTTATATAGGTATTTTTATAGTAGGTGGATTTAAAATACTTAGTTTTTTCGGGCCACCTTTGGCAGTGCTCAGGGATCACTCCTGGCCCTGCACTCAGGGCTAATTCTTGAAGGTACTCAGGGGACCCAGTGTGGTGCCAAGGATCAAACTTAGGTCAGCCTCGTGCAAGTTAAACACCCTAGGGCTGGAGTGATAGCATAGCGGTAGGGCGTTCGCCTTACAAGCGGCCAACATGGCCGACCCGAGTTCGATTCCTCCGCCCCTCTCGGAGAGCCCGGCAAGCTACCGAGAGTATTCGATGTGCCAGACACAGTAACAACAAAGTCTCCAATGGGGACGTTACTGGGCCCGCTCGAGCAAATCGACGATCAACGGGAGGGCCTTTACCTTTTACCTTTACCTTACCTGTTGTACTGTATCTCTAACTCTTTTTTTGGGGGGGGTCACACCCAGCAATGCTCAGGGGTTCCTCCTAGCTCTGTATTCAGGAATTACTCCTGGCGGTGCTCAGGGGACCATATGGGATGCTGGGGTTCGAACCCGGGTTGGCCACGTGCAAGGCAAGCGCCCTACGCGCTGTGCCATCGCTCCAGCCCCTATCTCTAACTCTTGAGACACTTCTGTGGTGGGGTTGACCCAACATGCTGACTCGGTGGTAGGAGGAAAGGGAGCGAGGAAAGGATAAAATGCTGTCTTCAAAATAAACAAATGCAGTAGGATCTTAGATTTTAGAAGAGAACTCTGTATTGGGATATAGTTTTTCCTGCCTGGTGGAGTAAGTGGACAGACTTGATAAAAGATTGATTTTTGAATACCATAAATCTGATTAATTATTTGACATAGGGGCATGATGGAAAGGTTTGTAAGGAAGGAAAAGAATGTCTTGGGGGCTGGAGTTATAATACAGTGGGTAGGATATGACCAACTTGGGTTCAGTCCTTGGCATCCCATATGGTTCCCCAGGACCCACCAGGAGTGAACCCTCAGCACAGAGCCAGGAGTAAGCCCTGAGCACAGCCAGGTATGGCCCCAAAACAAAAACACATACAAAAAAACAAAAGAGAATGTTTTAGGCTTTAGGGATCTATATAATTGTAGATTATAAAATATAAGAGGTCGATCTAGGAAAACTTAGAAGTTCTTAGGAGAAAGAAGTCATTTGGCAAGAAAAGGTAAATAAGAGGCAGATTACTTCGAACATTGATATTATTTTCACAATTTTAGACTCATTGAATAATTAGATAATAAAATGTTGAGGCTGTGTGAAAAAAAAAATGAATTAAATGAGCTCCTAACCTAAAAATTCTTAGAAGTTAAAAAAGGGGCCAAGGATGGGGCTCAGTGGCAGAGCATTTGCTTTGTCTCTGTGGAGGGACTGGGTTCAATGCCTAGCAACACAGAGTTGTTTTCCTCTAACGCCATGCACAAAAGTCAGATCAAAATGGATTAAAGACCTCAGCATCAGACCCAAATTGATAAGGTGCATGAAAGAAAATGTGACAATACCCTCAACGATATCGAAGCTAAAGGTATCTTCAAAGATGAAAGACCACTGACAGCAAGTTGAAGCAAAGATGAACAAATGGGACAACATTAAACTAAGAAACTTCTGCACCTCAAAAGAAACAGGAAACAAATGCAGCCTACGGAATGAGAAAGGTTATTCACCCAAACTCTTCTGACAAGGGGTTAATATCAAAGATGCACAGGCACGGGTTGAACTTTACAAGAAAAAGCACCCAACCCCATCAAGAAAAGGGAAGAAGAACTGAACAGAAACTTTGTTAAAGAAGAGATTCGAATGGCAAAAAGACATGAAATAAATGCGCTTCATTACTAATCATCAGGGAGATGCAAATCAGAATAACAATGAGATGCCATCTCACACCACAGAGCCTGGCACACATCCAAAAGAACAAGAGCAACCAATGCTGGCGTGGATATGAGGAGAAAGGGACTCTCCTTCACTGCTGGTGGGAATGCTGACTGATCCAGTCTTTTTGGAAAACGATATGGACATTTCTAAGAAAACTAGAAATTGAGCTCCTATTTGACTTTGCAATTCCACTGCTGGGAATATATCCTTCGGGCCCAAAAACACATAGCAGAAGCACCATCTGCACTCTTATGTTCGTTGCAGCACTATTAACAATAGCCGAAGCCTGGAAACAACCTGAGTGCCCAAGAACAGATGAATGTGTACAAAAACTGTCTACACAATGGAATACTATGCAGCTGTCAGGAAAAATGAAGTAATGAGATTTGTCTATAAATGGATGGATACAGAGAGTATCATGCTGAGTGAAATGAGTCAGAAGGAGAGGGACAGGTATAGAATGACTGCATTCATTTTTGGTACATAAAAATACATATGTAGCAAAAGACTAATATCCACAGCCAGGGAGAAAGAAAGGGCTAGGAGAACGGGTCAGTGATTGGAATCAACCACAAGTGTGTGTGGGACAAGGTAGGTAAGATAGAGAAGGGACCAGAATGACAAAAATAGCTGGAAATGATGATGCTGAACAAGAACTTGGTGTTAAAAACAGGTTAAAGAGATACCTGGTAACCTTTCAGTATCAATATTGCAAACCACAATGCCCCCGAAAGGGGAGGGTTGTTGGGGGGTGGGGAGAGGAGGGGTTGGAGGGGGGGAGAGGGGAAGGGAGAGGAAGAGAGGAGAGACCGCCATAGAGGCAGGTTGGGGGAGGGGAGTGATGGGAAACATCCACTGGTGGAGGAATGGGGGTTGGAACACGGTATGACCAAAACCCATTTATGAACAGCTTTGTGAGGGTCTATCACAGTGATTCATTTTAAAAAATCTTAAAAATTAAAAAATAAAATAGTCTGTTATTATCAAGCTTAAAGAATAAGCAGAATCAGCTTTCTAAGTATTTCCAGAAAATAGAATTACTCAGCATGGCTTAAGGGGGATAGATCAGTAGCTTAGCGTTCCTTCCTTGCAAATATAAGGCTGCAGGTAAGATCCTGGCGGTTACCACATGTACTGAACCTGTTCCTAGTGGCTCTGCTCCTTGTGCCTGGCAGCCACGCTGCCTGTAATTCTTAGCCCCACATGAGGTTTCCAGCCACATTGTAGCCAGATATGCTGCTCACACTGTAATAGGCGTGGTCCCCAGTAAGCATCATGGCTAGGAAGTGTGATCCTGGCAAGCATGTGTGAACATCACAGACACTTGCTTAGAACACTACAACCAGCATATATATGAACATCAGAACAAAGGAGATTTTGACACTCCCCCCACCCAGTGAGTGAATCCACAGAAAATTCAGGTATGCGGGACTTGTGACTGAAAACTCCAGGTTCAACAGAACCAGAATGGGTGACTGCCCCCCATGTCCTCATTTCCAACAACTTGGCAGCCATGCCCATGACACCAGATAATCTCATCGGTGGCCACCGTCCAGAGACTCGTTGTCCTTCTCTCTCAGAAGAGAGCATAAAATGACTCACCATAGCCATGCCACCGGACCCAGCACCAGACTGCTTCAATTGGGGTACTCTTGAGGGGGCCAGGTGTGGCCCTTCCCGCCCGAAGGGACCCAGCCCAGGCAGCCAAAAACCTCCAAAATGCAACCAGTGCCATGCTCGCGGCCACTCTGCACACATTCGGACTGAGACTCAACAGTGAGTAAATCTATCCCTGGACATCTCATACCTCACACCACTTATACTCCAAGAGTATGCACCCCGTTGATGTGGTTTAAAGTAGAAGGCAACCAATCTTAGAGGGGAATATATTTTTACAGATACATATGTATATGTATATGTGTGTGTATATATATGTATATATATAAGTATATATATATAGAGAGAGAGAGAGAGAGAGATTGCTGGAGACTGATCCCAGAACTCCCTCATGTAAGCTTGTGTTTAGCCCTTTGAACGATCTCCCTAGCCCCTAACCAGGAATTTTACACCTTCCTCTGGACAGCCAGCTACTCAGGAATGACATTAAGGACTGAAATAACAGT